CAGGCGCTGTGGGGGCTGAGCCCCACCCCCTAAACCAGGCCGAGGGGGCAAATTGCCAAAGGGCTTTAGGCACCTAGTGGGATGCTCAGCCCGGCCTGAGGTGGTTGGGGCCAAACGCCCCTTGATCTCGCTGGCCGTGCCGGGGCAGGCCCGGCCCAGGTAGTTCGTACCGCGCTGCGTTAGCTCCCTGGACAGCACACGCCATTCGCACTCAGGGTCCGTCTACACTGGGACGGCAGCTGGGGGGCCAGACCCGGCCTAGGCAGTTCGTACCGCGCTGCGTTAGCTTTATATCCTCGGGCGGATTCCTGGGTCTGGTGGCAGGTCGGGGCCCCCATAGGAATCGTGAAACCCGAGTCCGTCTGCGGAGGGACAGCCTGGCCCAGGGGTGGGCAAACGAGGGCCACATCTGGGAACAGAAATTGTATGGAGGAGCCATGAATGCTCACAAAACTGGGGTTGGGTGCGGGGGGGGGTGGAGGGCTCTGGCTGGGGGTGTGGGCTCCGGGGTGGGGACAGAAATGAGGAGATCAGGTTGTGGGAGGGGGCTCTGGGCTGGGGCAAGGGGTTGGGGTGCGGGAAGAGGTGCAGGATCCGACTCAGGGTGCGGGCTCTGGGGTGGGGCTGGGGATGAGGGGTTTGGGGTGCAGGAGGGTGCTCCGGGCAGGGATGAGGGGTTCGGAGGGTGGGTGGGGGATTATTAATGAGTTTACATTGCACAGATCCCTGTGCAGTGCCAGACGGTCTAATTCTGGGGTCAGACTCCAGCAAGGCTGCAAGGCGGGGGAGCTGGGAAATTGGCTGTTTGTCCTGGAGTGGCTTCGGTAAAGCACTCAGGTAGCCCAGTTGGGTGTGTGGCGCCTCCTGCTGTTGTGTTGGGTGATAACAGGGCCTGGTGAGGCTGGCCGAATCTCCAGCAAAGCAGTGTGGGAGAGGCCTGCCCAGCCGGGGGCTTAGAGCCCACAGCGGTTCCCACGGCTCCCAGACTGCACCCTGGGGTGACAGCCCATCACACCCGCTGTCAAGGCTGAGAGCAGTACCTGGAGGAGGACTGCTGGGGCTACCTGGTTGACTCAGATTAGCTCTTTCCAGCTCTAAGCGCTTCAGCTCCATCTTGGCACCTGGATCCCGGGGAGGGGAGGGCTGACCATTCGCTCCGGGGGGATCTCCGGTCCCCCATCCCCTCCCTGCATTTCCGTCATGGAGCTGGATGTCTGGGCTTGATCTGGGCCTGTCTTCTCCGTGGCGTGCCGCTTTGGGAAGGTTGGTTGCTCTCGGGTTTCGGTGCCCGACCGCAACCTCGTGCACAGGGCTGCCCTCCTCTAGCCCAGCTTTTTCGTTGCCACCAAGCTAGAAAAAGATAAACGGCTTGTTGGGCTCCCTGGCTTGGCAGGCCGAACCCTTTGCCTGTTCCTCCTCAGCCAGCAAAGCAAAGAAAGAAAGAAAACCTCCCTGGCTTTGCAGGCTGCCGAAAGGAAAAATGTGTCCTTTTCAAATCCTGAGCTCTGTGCCGCTGGTTCAAAATGATCCCACCGCTGCCACCATGTCAAAGCTAATTCCCCACTCTGGCACGTCGAGTGCGGAAGGTGGAGGCCTGTAAGGACTCTAAAAATGAATACTGGCCACTCCAGGCTGGTATTAAACTCCCCAGGCTACAGCTTTTCTCTGACCTTGGCTTGGTAAATGCTGCCACCACCCAAGTGCAGAACCCCTTGGAGAGCCCAGGAAGGTGCACTTGGGAATTCCTTTCTGTGGGGTGCCCTCCAGCCCCTTCACACACACCCTCCGGGGAAGAGCTGAGAAAGAAAACAAAGGAAATCAGCGGTTGCCACCAGCTAATTATACATCATGTGCACAAACCTCTTAGACACAAAAATCCAATCCTGTGCTTAAAAAAGATAAATTTTATCGATAAAAAATCAAAGAAAGAAAATTCATCTGGGAACTTAGGCATTTGCTAGATTTTAAAAGCGTAACTACAAGGATTCAGCACCAAGAATAGTTTTCTAGAGGGACAGCTTAAAGGTTACAAGCAAAACAAAAGCATCTGGGGTTAGCACAGAGGAGTCCACAAGCCATAAAGAAATGAGAGAGAGAAATCTAATTGCGTCTTCCTAGACATTCCCTGATCTACTCACGTATCTGGGGTTTCAGTGAGTAGTTTCTAGGTATGAGACTTTTCATACCTGGCCCCAAGCGTCTTACAGCACAGTTGTGCCTTGTCCCCTCTCCCCGGGAGAACAACCACAGACAGACCAAAGGGGAGTCTTTGTTCAATTTTAAAAATTTCTAGCCTTCCCATCGGCTCATTTGGCCAGGTGCCCACACCCGCCTTCGGTCACGGCGAGGCCCCTTTCCCCAGAGAGCCACTTCTCATCTCCTGAGCCAGCTCCCTAGCTGGGCACCCTCCCCAGAGCGTGTCCTGATGGATGCCACGTCCTTTTGAACCTGTTCTTTTCAAGGCCTTCCCCTGGCTGCTACAGCCTCTATATACACCCAGCTCGTCGCACCAGGGAGCAGCAGGGACCAGAGCTGCCGACGCTCATGAGTGGAATCGTTTTCCATAAAGCCCCAGCTCCTGGAGTCAGGTGGGTCTGGGCTGGTTTCAGGCTTAAATAAAAAGGAAGCTTTGAATCCTCGTGGCTGTGGAGAAAGCGACAACATATGACCCCCGGGCACCCTAGTGACTCAAAGAGCAGACGGCAAATAACAAGCCCCCCAGAGCTCGTATCTTTACATAATCTCGTGATTTTGGGGGAGCCTGACTCGCGATTACGGATACAATTCTGTCACGGACGGAGGTCACAAATTCCGGGACTGGAGCAGCTCTCAGACCCGGAGCAGTGGCCACCAGAACCGGTGTGTGGCAGCCAGTCCCGGTGCGAACGGAGCAGCGGCCAGGGTTGGGGGTCAGCCCCCCTGGGCCTGGAGCAGCTGCAAGTCCTGGCAATGCTCTTACAGGGTGTGACCCAGGGGATTCAGACCGTTAATACGGGGAGCTGCAGGCACCAGTGCAAAGCCCGGTGGTCAGTCGGGTTCAGGACCACTAGCCCTTGTCACACATCTCAGGACTAACCGAGATCCCAGCGCGGGCGCAGCTGTTACAGGGCCCAGCTGGGAAAAGCCCCACGAGAAGGCAGACGTGAATGTTCCCGCCCTGGATCGGAAGGAAGTGGCCGAGGCATTTGGCTCTAGCAGCGGGACCAGGCTTTCTCTTCGGCCAGTGACGGGGGGGGGATGTTAAATACCAGATGCTAAAGTTACACATCTCTAAATCGGCAGGACCGGGTACCCTGTACGGAAGAGTCGCAAAAGAATTGGCCAAGGATCTCCTTGGACCATTGGTGTTGACATGCAACAAATCTTCTCATTCAAGGGAGGTCCCAGAGGACTGGGAAAAGCTCTTACGTCAATATTTGAAAAGGGCGGAGAGGGCGACCCAGGAACCCCTGCGGGAGAGGGTCAGCCCTGTGGGGGAGGGGAGGGTACTGTTTACTCTTCCCTTGCTGGGATGGTGCCGCGCCTTTTCCCCACAGCTTAGCGTGAAACACAAGACGGGCTTTGTGTCCGCATGACGCTGAATTCCCGGCATCAGCTCCTGTTACACAACGGGCGGCTGCTGTCCTGGGTGCTTTCGGTTTCCCTTCCACACGGAGCTGTTTGCACTGAGTGGGGGGTTTCGGGCCCAGCCACTTCCACATGCCCGAACTCCGTCTGCTGGAATCTAGTCCGCTGCTACCGGCCGCGAGTCCCGTCCCTGCCCATTTTTAGCAGAAAGGAGAAGCAAATAAATCTCCCCTGGACTTTCGCAGCCCCCGCTGGCTTGAAGCTGTTAAAGGGAATCAGTGTCCTGGTGCAAAAAGCGGCGTCGCGTCCCAGCAAAGAGAAGGCGCCAGTGGTCTGTTTGCAGCACGGCAGAGGGACTCAAGGATCTGTGCTAATACGGGTGGTTAATAGATCGAGTAACGGGCTGGGAAAGAAAAGGGATCAATAGGGTGCTTCAAATTCCCATGCAGCCCCATTGAAAGCCAGAGACCCACACGTCCAGCTCTGCTCTCCGGCACTTCCTAGTGACCGCCCCCAGCTAAGCTCCCTGCTCCGAGTGCCCTGGGGGCTGCCCCAGGAGCAAATTATATACAGGGTGAAGCCCAGTGGGCAGCTGCCTTGCAATCAGGATAAGTATCAAGAAGCAATTAAGCTCCTTTTATGGAACCAGGCAGCTGAACTCAGGCTAACAACAGCTAACGTTGGCGTGAAGCGTGAGATCCATTCTCCAGGAAGAGACTCGAGATTCCCCTGTTTGGGCTTGATCGCATGAGCTGTTCGATCCTGGTGCAGGGCCAGATTACCAGCGGCTTGGCAGCTGATAGTGAGATCACCTCCGCTCCTAATCGCATGATCATTTCCCACCCCGCAAGGGCCGGTTGTATACTGTCCATTGCTTCTTGTCTGGCCCAGGGACAAAAGAGGAAGGGACCAGCCCCCTGCACACTGTCAGACCTGGAGGGCCCAGAAAAAGCCCCCCAACCCTCTGCTCCTTTCTCCTCCTCCCAGTGCTCAGCGCCTGGGTCAAAAGCTACGTGGACACGACACACGGCGGGACCGTGCCCTGCCTGGAGGACGCCGTGACACTGCTGGCGGCCGTGGAGAACGAGGCGGCCGTCACGGAGGTGCTGGCTCACTACGTGGCTGAGATGGAGACGCGGGTGACGTTCCCGGTGGCCGTGACGGAGCTCTCGGAGCTTGGTGGCTTTGCTGCAGCTTTCCATGCCGCGCTCCTTCAAGGCTGAGATGCCATCCTCTCAGCAGGAGCTCGTGGTAATGCACTGTCGCCGCTTGTGCTTCTAGCTCTAAAGGTCCCTGGTTCAATCCCTCGTGGCAGCCGTGCCAGGGCTGGTCTAAGATCGAAACCGCGGTGAGCTCGCACGCTCAAGGTGAGCTCGCACGCTTGAGGTGAGCTCGCACGCTTGAGGTGAGCCGCACGCTCGAGGTGAGCTCGCATGCTCAAGATGAGCCGCACGCTCGAGGTGAGCTCGCACGCTCAAGATGAGCCGCACGCTCAAGGTGAGCTCGCACGCTTGAGGTGAGCTTGGCTCGAGCAGTGGGAGTAAGTTACCTGCTGGCGAAAGGGCTAGAAACGCCAGGACTGTCTCCTTCTCTCGGCGGGGCAGGGGCCGCCCTGACGCTATAGGCTAGAGCAGAGAGGAGGCTGCAGAGGACAGACATGAGTTTTTTCCTTTTGCGGGCTAGGCCGAGAAAGCAGAAAGCTTTGGCAAAGTCTTCGGCAGAAGCGAAGCATCTCCACGGAGCTTTGCCTCGTGCTGCGGGAGGAGCTCTCGGCCGCCGTGCGGAAGACGCACACGGACGGGGTTTACACGCGACCTGGCGGCTCCGAAGTCGACCTCGGAGACCAGAGCCGCGTGGCGGAGAACAAAAGGGTCCAGGTGAGTGGCTGACAACCCCTTCACTGGAAAGGGGACCGGTGGGTGGAACTAGCCAGACAGGGGCGGTGGAATGGGGGGGCCGGGGGGCCATAACCCCATCACTTTTCAAAGGAAGGGTTGAAGCGGGGGCAAGGCCTCGGGGGGAAGGGTAGTGCAGGGGGCAGGGCCATGGTTCGCGTGCTGGTGGCTCCCCACTTTTAGGGCCCTTCCCTCGCTCCTATAGCCACAGGGGGCTTTCCTACCTCGTCCCCCCGATGTTTGGTTTCAAACTACAGCAACGGCCCTTGTTAAGAGGAAACGTGTATTGGCCACAGTCCGCGGGGAGATGAGGGTGATTAGCATATTCATAAGAGCTCATGAATAATTCAACACCGTGAGCTCTTCTTCCCAAGCAGAGGAGGTACTGGACCAGTTCCTGGCCAGTAAGAAGGCAGCGGCAGACGCCATCCTCAGAGCGGATAAAACGTTGATGAAGGCAGAGCAGGAGAAAGTCAGTACGTTGCTCTAGCCTGGATCGAACCGGACCTAAAAATTCCCTAATTTCCTCCGACGTCTTAGGAAGAAATTGTTCCGTGCCATGAAGAGAGGTTATTTCAAAGATCGGGCAGGAGACGTTCTTTAGCAGCACAAAGGCAGAGACTCACACCCCATTGCGTGGTGCCGGTGCTTGTGCCATCCCCACGCACAGGAATGAATGGTTCGGTGTGTCCCTAGCGTTACCCTCGCTGACCCAAGTGGCTCGCCAGAATTTGGGGGCTTCTGGGTTGTTCCACTTGGGAGGAGAAATGGAGGATGGAGGCTGGTGCCTTTGGTGCAATCCCGTTTATTTACCAAGTAGGGACCAAGTCCAATTTTCCTGAACACAGGGCAACTCGGAAAACGGGGGCCCCCACTACAGAAAGGATGTGGACAAATTGGAGAGAGTCCAGCTGAGGGCAACAAAAATGATTAGGGGGCTGGAGCACATGACTTATGAGGAGAGGCCGAGGGAACTGGGATTGTTTAGTCTGCAGAAGAGAAGAATGAGGGGGGATTTGATAGCAGCCTTCAACTACCTAAAGGGGGGTTCCAAAGAGGATGGAGCTCGGCTGTTCTCAGTGGTGGCACATGACAGAACAAGGAGTAATGGTCTCAAGTCGCAGTGGGGGAGGTCTAGGTTGGATATTAGGAAAAACTTTTTCACTAGGAGGGTGGTGAAGCACCAGAATGGGTTCCCTAGGGAGGTGGTGGAATCTCCTTCCTTAGAGGTTTTTAAGGCCTGGCTTGACAAAGCCCTGGCTGGGATGATTTAGTTGGGGATTGGTCCTGCTTTGAGCAGGGGGTTGGACTAGAACTAGATACCTCCTGAGGTGCCTTCCAACCCTGATATTCTATTATTCTAACAGGAGACAGTTTCCTTGCTCACAATTCAAAGCCTCTTTCAGCCAGTATCGTGCCCAAAAGCTCCCTCTCTGGGCTTCTCTCAGGGTTGTGCTATCAGTTGCTTGTTCAGGCTGCGTCTCGCTTTCTGCTCCTTCTGTCTCTGAGTGTCTCTCCCCCTTTGCTGTGTTTTACACACAGACTCTTAAGCCAAAGCAATATTCAGTGACGCCAACTTCGCCCAGATGTTTGCAATTTCTGTGAGTTGCTTCAGGCAATGACTGGTGCTTATCTGTCTCTTGCAGCTATCTGAAACAAAGGGTGGCAGTTAAACCTCTAATAACATGCTAAAAAAACCCTGCAGCTGGAATGAAGAGATTAAACACTCCAGCGTGTGTGTGTGTGTGTGTGTGTGTGTGTGTGTGTGTGTGTGTGTGTGTGTGTGTGTGTGTGTGTGTGTGTGTGAGAGAGAGAGAGAGAGAG